GGGAGATGACTATGAAGCAATCGCGACACAGTTTGTCGTTAGGCCTGCTGGCCGAAGGTTCTACCTCATTTGCCGTTCGTTTTTATCCCCCTTCTGAAGACACCCCGATACCAATGCACGGGTTAAGTTGCGCTCCTCGGGGCCGGTGCAACGAGCTGGGAGAAGGTGAGTGGCGCTAGGAAGAGTCGGTAAGTTGTGTAGGAAGGAAGAGAAAGGTAGTTGAAGTTGGGAGGTGGCTTAGGACTTGAAAGCAAACGTAGGAGAGAATTTATTTTTGTTTGGAGCCTGGAAGGAAACGAAAAACCTTCAGCACTGCCATAGACATATAGCGAATCTGGTAAACCTTACTAGTACAAACATGTAGATAACTCGATCGTTCTCAAAGGAAACGACCGAATCTGCTCCGTCGGTTTCACAGTCGCAGCCGCGCCTGTCCTTGGTTGGCCGTGAGACTTTCCAACTGCCGATGTGATACTTCAATACAACAGGTTAGTATTGTGGAGCGAGCTTCTAACTCAGTTTCACGCCTCCAAATAATGTTTTTCTTACTTCGACGAGACTGCTAACTGATAATGCATCTCATCAAACGCACCGAAGGCCGGGCGGAACAAAGGACTGGACAACGAAACGTGAACTCACCAATATGGCGCTAACAACAGTGTACTGTTTATATCCTGCTACCCAGGCATTTACTTAGAATGAGCTAGATTTACCTTTCTTAATTTAAAATCAAACAAAACTGTCGTGATCGACAATTTTTTGCTTTCCAAGGACGTCTACTAAGTGCATTAGAACCATGAAATTGCATTGTCAAGCTTGTGTGCCGATGTTCTGCGCTCTATTCACGCTTGATTGACTTGCACTAAAGGTTACTTACCCGAGTTCTCGTGGGGATGAATAAAGCGCAGCTACTGTGTTAAAGCGCAATCTATCCGGAGCATACGGCTTTAGTGAACTAATTAAGATATTACAAGTTGTTTTCGGAATGTCTGCATGATCCGCATGCAGTAGCTTATCAATCGATGTTTCTCTCGACTCTTTTAGTAGGAGTCTGCTAGATGCGAATATTGCGATAGATCATTAGCTGTTTATCATGGAGTGTGACGACTGGTGAGAGCACGGAGGAAGAGAGACAAACGAAGAGTTGCGGGACGAGGAGCGAAGGCGAAGGTGAGAGAGGGCGGTGAAGGCTAGGCGCGAAGGCGATGCTTGAGAAGCAGTTGTGATGTGCCTCGAAGTAGGTAAATTGGAAAGTGAGATTGAAATGGTTAGTTGTTTGTCGGCTACGCTTAGTTAGCGGTCCCTAGATACACTAGGTAATTATATGCATTTACTATACTAAATTCTACGTTGTCTTTGAATCGTATCTTGAAGTAGCGTAGTGGTAGTGAACCGCGGTTCATTTGAACCGGGCTAGAATCTTCATAGTGAATTTAAATGTAGCAGAATGCATGTCCTTGAAGCCCCACATTTAGGACGTGTTCTTCTTAAACATGGTGATTGCCTTCGACCAGGCACGTGGCGGCCTGCCCGCTCATTGACATTTAGATAGGACAGTAGAAGGAAGTCAATTAAGGAAGGTAGGACGCATTGGTACCAACGTCATAACCAGCATTGGTACCAACGTCATAACCAGCATTGGCTGTGACGTTGGTGCGTCGTTACATGGAGAGAGAGAGAGATTATGCTTTTCCAAAGTATATTAGGCTAGTACTTATCAGGAATCTTTTGGGCAAATTTGGCGAAGTGTTTCCTTTTACTCTATACCAGTTCATATCGAGTTTTTTTTATCGCGATGGTATCTTCGAAGTATGC